CAACAACAATAAAAACAGTCAAGATTTAAAACAGTACAAAAAATTAAATATAAATATAAATACAACCAAGAGATCTTTAAAAACTGTTAGTATCAGCACAACCATGAAATGGGGCCCTTCACACGCTTGGGGCCCTAGGCCCGGGCATAAAGCCAGGTCTTCAAGGTCTTCTGAAAAGCCAAAAGGATCGGGGCCATCTAAATCTCAGGAGGGAGGTTGTTCCAGAGGGCAGGCGCCACAGCAGAAAAGGCACGTCTCCTGGTCCCCACCAGCTGACATTCCTTGGCTGATGGGACCTGGAGCATAACCATCCTGCCGGACTGGATTGGACGGGTAGAAACAACTGGGAAAAGACAGTCCCTAAGGTAACCCGATCCCAAGCCATGAAGGGCTTTAAAGGTGACAACCAGCACCTTGAATTGCATCCAGAAACACACCGGCAACCAGTGCAGCTCCTGAAGCAGTGGTGTTACATGTACCGGATGGCTGACACTATTTACAACCCAGGCAGGTGCATTCTGTACCAGCTGAAGCTTCCGAATGCTCTTCAAGGACAGCCCCATGTAGAGCGTGTTGCAGTAGTCCAAACAGGAGGACATGAGGGCATGAGTGACAGTGAGTAGAGCCTCCCAGTCCAGAAATGGGCGCAACTGACGCACAACCCAAAGGTGTGCAAAGGCCCTCTTAGCCACAGCTGCCACCTGCTCTTCCAGCAGGAGCCGTGAGTCCAAGAGGACCCCCAAATTGCGTACCAGGTCTGTCTGGGTCAGTGCTGCTCCATCCAGAACCAAAGATGGAAGAACCTTGGTACTGGGAGGCCCAAACACCTAAAGCCACTCAGTCTTGCTTGGGTTGAGCCAGAGCCCATTGCACCCCATCCAGGCCCCTACAGCCTCCAGGCACTGAGATAGGACATCCATGGCATTACTCAGACAGCCCGGGGAGGAGAAATAAAGCTGGGTATCATCAGCATACTGATGATACCTCACCCCGAACTATCGGATCACCTCACCCAGCGGTCTCATGTAGATGTTAAATAAGAGGGGTGAGAGAACTGAGCCATGTGGCACCCCACACGGTAGGGGCCGTGGAGGAAGGAGGAGAACCAGCACAACACAGTGCCACCCACCCCCAACTCCATTACTTTGCAATGGATAATTTTAATTTGAATTATCTCAAAGATTAAAGTGTTAGAACTAGGAAACCTTAAGCTTCCCAAGGAAAGATGGTGTGAAAAAGACTAAATAAGAAGTTGGTTGAACCTGATTGTGTGCGAGTTGTGCATATAGTTTTCTCTCCCACAAGATGTTCAGAAAATGTTTTTGTATGTGTGTGTGTGTGCCTTCAAGTCATTCTTGACTCCTGGCAACTGCCTGGACAAGTCCCTGCAGTTTTCTTGGCAAATTTTTGGAAGTGGTTTCCCACTGCCTTCTTCCTAGAGCTGAGAAAGAGAGATTGGCCCATAGGCACCCAGCTGGCTTTGCACCTCAGGCAGGTCTAGAAATCATAGTCTCCTGGTTTCTAGTTTGGTGCCTTAAACTGATACACCGATTTCCTTTTCCTCCATTACAGTTTTTATTTACACACACACACACACATACACACACACACAAAGATTTTTTAAAGAGGAAAATTAATACTAATACAAACTAATATAAAGTAAGAAAAAGAAAGAAATCAAAAGCAAAGATAAAAGTTCAAGAAAAGAAAAAAAGTAAAAGAAAAATAGAAAAGAAAGAAAAAAGATACAAAGAAGTAGCTTCCCATATTCTTTACAGCAGTTATAACTACAATTACAAATTTACCTCTTAGTCTATAGTTACTCTCTTCTTTCTATAATCTATCCTGTTTAATCATCAAAACCATAAATCATAAGTTAATTTTTTTCTCTTTCATGCAAAAAGTCTATAATGGGTTTTTTGTCAGCCATAAATGTAAATATTGTCTTTTCTCTGATCAAGGAAGTCAATTTAGCCATCTCAGCAAGTTCCATCGTCTTCCCCAACCTTACCTCCATTGTGGGTAATGCTGAAATCTTTCCATCTTTGTGCATACAATAATCTCATTGCAGTTATCATATACAAAAAC